ACTCCCAAAGATCTCCAATGGGGCCTGAATAGGTTTGCGGTTGCTTTGAAGCCAATTCCGCCTCTTGGAAAGATCACCTGGGGACTGTGTCCAGGGACCCCAACCCCATACCCAAAGTAATTTGTGTTTGGATCCCTGGCTCTTGTTGAAACCAAAAGGAAGGCCCCCTGACTCTGATTTCCCTTTAAGGTATTCCAAACTGGCCCCAAACAAGGGTCCAAAGGGCCCTGAAGCAAGGTACGGCGGGCATTTGTTGGATGTTGAGCACCAGCCTGGATCGCTACAGCAATCCCATGAGCGAGCACTATGTTCCGGACTCGCAGATGTTGGTTATCTTGCCCCTTGGGCAATAGTCCGTGAAGTTGGTAATGTAATGACCAGTTTTGCCCATACCAACCCAAGCAAACAAAATGGTAACTTATGGGGACCCTGGCGAATTGATGGAGAAGAGGGTTGTGGGATGAGGGGTTGGGAAAAAATCGCTTCCGTGATCCCAGAAAACCTCCTGCTTATCAGCAGAATTAGGCCTTTCATTGGTATCGCAGCAGTGGGCAATTCCCACAACTGGGTTGTAAAGAACTTCAAGGGCAGTTGTTCAGTGGCATCCCTGATTAGCGTTCCTGTTGAGTGGTCGCCTTTGTTGCGTGGTCTTACTTGGCTGCGTTTGTTGGGTGATAAGTGGGGCTACAAGCCTCCATTTAGTGGGGTTTGCTCGGTTTATAACCTGTTTACAACCAAACGAGGCGGCCAGGCAGTGGTTCAGTGGATTCCACCTTCTACATAAAATCCTTTTGTTTGGTGGGCACCCCACGACGAAATGGTCAACCAGAAAAGGGGAAAATGTTTCTTGCTTCCTGGCGCGGAACCCGGGCGCGAGCAAACCAGGAGATGGTCATTGTCTGAATGGGGAATACATGGCCCCATATCTTTTGGGGTGGATGAACATCCATTTGCCACCTATTTTGATGTTCACCAGGGGTACAGGGTTTTGACCCACAGCCAATGAACCAACTACTAAAATCGAGCAACGGGGTTCAAGCACAAACCAGTTCTTGGGGCGCGTCTTCACATGGTTGGTTTTGGGGTGTGACCTTAGCCCCTTTTACCTGTTGCTCGGGAAGCGCACCCCAGTCATGTTCTTTCTTCGGCGAGAGCATACTCTCCCGCAAAAGATGGGTATGCTTCCGTGTTTTCGTTTGTCAGCAAACGATGCGAATGTTCAAGGAGGTTGGGCCCAACCACTTTGGTGATTGTGCCGCTTGGGCGAGATACACCGACGTTTGAAAACGGGACCGGGACTCCTGAAAGGCGCATCGCCTCAGCTTTGGCAAAACGGGACGAGCAACGCCTTTTTTGATTGGTGACTTGCTTGGCCGGGCTGTCACTTTGGTGGCCGGACTGACTGACTGACTGACTGACTGACTGACACTGACTGACTGACTGACACTGACTGACACTGACTGACTGACACTGACTGACACTGACTGACACTGACTGACACTGACTGACACTGTCTGACACTGACTGACACTGACTGACACTGACTGACACTGACTGACTGACACTGACTGACACTGACTGACACTGACTGACACTGACTGACACTGACTGACACTGACTGACACTGACTGACACTGACTGACACTGACTGACTGACTGACTGACTGACTGACTGACTGACTGACTGACTGACTGACTGACTGACTGACTGACTGACTGACTGACTGACTGACTGACTGACTGACTGACTGACTGACTGACTGACTGACTGACTGACTGACTGACCGTTCGCGCCCTTTGTGGCCTGCTCAGGTTTGCAATCATCGGCGCTGTCATGGCGGTGCCATTCATGCATCTCTTCGATACGATTTGCGACACCATCGTCTATTGCAACTCCACCTTGTCGACACTTTGCTAATAGTGTCCCCAACAGGCATCCGAATGCTCTAAATTGAGACCCCAAACAATATCAACCAAGGGTTTGGCAATCCTGGGTCAAGACTATACAAACGGCTAAGCAGTTACACAGTCTTTCTACGACATGCATTGGTTCACATTTCTTTCCCCACAACCTCCGTTCCAATCATTTAGACCCTTCTGGTAATTATTTTGAAACCGCCCTACTAAGGCCTACTTTGGCTGCAGGTCTCGCTGTAAGTCCGAATAAGCCCCCGCTCTTTGGGGTATGGTTTCCATGGTCCTTGATGAGAACCAAAGTTCAGTGAAGGTAGATGGCAGACCTCCAGATTTTGATTCAGCCATCTCCTTCACATCTACCGCCTCTGGTGTAAGTTTAAGCCCTGTTTCGGACTCGTAAAGATTCTCAGTAAAGAAACAACATCACCTTGACCCGCAGCAGGAGTGTTGACCATGGCGCATGCATGACATTGCGCGATTTGTTTTGTTGTTGGACAGGGTTTCTTATTAAAATCAAGGTCGGGGCTCTTTTTCAGTCTTTGGAGTGGTGCACAGCCCATACCACCCAGCCCAAATAATTTGGGCTTCTTCCCCTGAGAAAAGGAAAAACACCGCCTCAGGATGCGACTGCCGACGTCCTGGGGCAGCAACCAAGGAGGTTTCATGAGCTGGTTCGGCTTTACGGGCCACTAAAGGTTGGAGAACCTTCCTTTGAACCTGGGCGTTCTGCTTTCGATTTCCCGTGGATTCTGCAGGGACCCTATGCTCAAAGACCTGGGCTTTGGGGCAAATAGGCCTTAAGTCCTGAGAGACCTCCTGTCAAGATGGCTCCGACCTTTTTCGGGCCTGGTGAAGCTTTCGAAGTGCATGCCGCCCGAAACGGGCCAAACCAATCGCTCCGAGACGCCCCCGAGCAACTCGCCCAGCGTTGACACGGAGTGCAGCTGTCGCGATGTGAATCGCGAATCGCGCGCCGGCTTGGACGGGGATGCTTCGCAAGAATTTGCACAGCCAAGGAACTCGTGTTATATGTTCCGGGGGTCTTCCCCTGCGCTTCATCCGTGTTTGCGATTTGTTGAAATCACCCTCCCACTAGGTACCGGTTTTTTGCAGTGACTCTGGTGGGTAGTTTGGAGCTGGGCGCGTGTTAGACTATCTTGTTATGTTCTTTGCACGTTGCCGAATGGAAACATGTGGTCTCGCCAAACTAACAACGCACGACTTCAGTCCCTTTGCCCCAAGAATTCATTCAGTTTGACACGGGGTGGATGGTGTGGTGCTGGGAAGCAGGTTTTTTCTTCGGGACCTTCAGAAGAACGGATCAAATGCACGTCCCAAAACCTGGGCCCAGGGTTCCCCATAGTTCGCTCGAGTTCTGTTGTTTTTCTGGAACCAAAAGCCATGAGGTCCAGGGAATGCCATGAATCGCCCGATAGGCGGCTCTTCTGGTTTTGAGTGTCGATCTTGAGTCAAAGCTTTCGCCGAGGATTTTCGAGGGTGGTCATTGGAATCTGCAATCCCATTTTTTGAGTAAGTGCTGGGTGGTAAGACCCACGGCCAACGGATCCAACTGAGAAGAGCAAAGAAGTCAAATTACGGCCTCACTGGTTGGGGGGGGAGTGGGTGGGTTGCTGGGGGTCCGGGATTCCCTGTTTGTCTTATGGTCGAATGAGTAGGAATTGTCATGCACCCCGTTTAGACAACCTATGAGAAGGAATCCTGCTAGGGGAACCATTCTCATTTCTGGGGTCTCCTGCAAAACAAATAGTTGTATTTCAGAATGAACTAAATATGAAGCAGAAATAAACAAGTGATTTTTTGTGCACCCAGATGTGGGCCCAGAGTTTCGGTTTGGGCTCAGAGGTCCAGCGGTCCAAGACGTAGCCACCGAAGCGCTTCGAGTCGCATGGCCCAAAGCTGGTCACCAGATGCTGAGACAAAGAAGCTACCTGCATGGCTGGTCTTGTGACCCGTTGGGAACCTCAGACCTTTTTGGAAACAAATGGCTGTGGTGGTCAAAAATAGGGAAACCTCGTTTTGGGAACCCTGGTAAATGGAACCAAAGACTAAAACCTGCGGTCCATTAGGACCTGCAGAAGGTGATCGAGCTTGTCTGGGGGAGTTGAGGCAACCCAGAAGTCGAGAATTGGTTTGGGTCATGTTGAGACTCCCATGGACAACTTGGTTTTGGAGCGTTCTGTGATAAGAGCCGGATGGCCACTTGGGTGTCTACCCTCTTCCAGGTTTTAGGTCTACCCAAAGGGGCATTTTTTTGTTTAGGTCTAGCGGAAGGAAGCAAAAGATGGGACCCTGTGATAGATATGCGCAAGGTCGAAACCTCCCTTAGACTTGGTACGGATGCTCATGGACTCCTGGAGAATTTCAGGTAACCATCATGGGAATGCTACGAATTGAGCCCATGATCAAGGACCTTGACTCGTGGGTTCCGTTATCTCCGGCTTGAGAATCCGAGTGATTTGCCCAGAAAACAGGCTAGGTTTCCTTTGGTTTTCCTTTGTTTTTCCTTTGCCATGACCTTGGCCCACATAGGGAATGCTGATCCTCCTGGGGGCTACCCTTCTCCAGCTGCAAAAAGCGGCCACCAATTTGCCGGCAATCAGAAAGGTTTGTCGAGGCAGTTCGAGTATGGTCATGTGTTCTTGATGTCGAGTATTTGACCCAACATTTGCAAGACTCATGGAGACTCCAGCTACAATCCTGTGGGGTCAGAACGCGTACATGGAGAATCTTTGGTAGGTTGCCACCGGGTGACTCGAATCCCCATTTAGAGTGCCCCGTTTTTCCCAAGGTTTTGTGGGGGCTGGGGTGAAGAGCGCCAGAGCTAGCATTCCAATGGTTTCCCCATTGGGGTGATTCGCAGGCCTCCGGAAAACCGGGGGTTTGTCAGTTCCGGGGTTTGCCCGGGTTTATGTCCAAGGTCTCTAGTTGGATAGACGCATGAGGGAACTCGTGTGAATTGTGGTGGTTCCTCTTGGGAGTGAGGTTCTTCCGGTTCCCCCTCAAATCCCGAAAAAAAGTCCCTGAGAACCAAGCTCCAGCCATGTCGACCGATTTGCTGTCAGGTGCAATCAGCGGGCTGCCCCGTGATTTCCATCGACCAGGAAATCGATTGGAGAGCATGGCTGAAAAGCAGTCTTGTTGGGGGACCCAACATTTTGATCTTGCCTGTGGTCGTACCTTTAAATTTAAAGCAAGGTACAAAACATCACACACCCAAATGGTGGACTTTAGGTTGCCACTTTCCGTGAGCCTCAATGCTTTGAAAGCGACACACCCTGGGACTGGCCCACTTGGGTAACCTTGCAGACCCCCCCCCAGATCTTTCCAAGAGTTCGGGTGTTGTTTGTGGTGGTTTCAACAGTGGTTTCCCTGTAGGGGTTATGGATGAGGATTGGCCAACCCTCCATTTTGAGAGCCGCCCGGTCAACAGTTTGGAGGCTCTTTGCTCTTTTTGGAGATGGCGAGTTGGTGATTTGGAATAGCACGGCTGGAGCCATTAGCAGGGTCCTCCCCTGTAAAACTAAGGTGCAACCTGGAAATCGTGTATTTTCAGACTAATATGAGAGTTCAAGTATTTACTAACACTTGGCTCCTCTGATTACGACTTGATTTGAATTTCAAGCACCCCACAACCCCATCCTAACTATTTCGGCCCGTATGCTGCTCTTCTTTGGGACCACCCATGTTGCAGGTGGCATCGTGGCTGCTGGCTTGGATCTTCAACCTTGAACTTGTTGGGCAAATATGCAGTTGTTTCCACGAATCCAAAACAGGTTTAACTGTTTTTTGCACAGGTAATAGCCACCGAACCATGGTATTCTGTCTCATTGGCACGCGCAGGATCCGCCCAAACGGGATTCGCAAGAGACGGAGCCGAAGGCGGGGGGTTGCGAGCGAATATTGGCATTGTCCTAGACCTGCATTCACTCACTTCCCCAGCTAGTCGTTTTATTGAGAATCAAAAGCCTGTTTTTTTTTACCAGTCTCAGAAAGTGAGGTTGCCTGTAATACAGGCAACCTCATGCTGTGTTTCCGATCTGTCGGCCTTTCAACCACCAAAAATGGCCAGGAGTGGCTCCGGGTTTGGGCTCCGGGTTTGGGTTCCGAGGGTTGTTGGGATACCTGGGATTTGTGCGTTTCCCAAAGGGAAATCAACTACCGACAAAGGGGGAAAGCCCTTTTCCTCTTCTGGCCACTGGAGGTTGGGGTTGTGCAGAGGTTGTGGCACATGTCGTTGCCAAGTCTCAGCTCTCCGATTCGGGACAAGACAAGCTCACTCATGATGAAAGTTCCTTCCTTACTTGGGGGTTTCTTACTGCCAGGGACCAATAAGACAGGAGCTTTAACTGATTTGGAAGCGTGATTTGAGATGCATCTATTGGGGAGCCGTGTCGGGCCGTGTTGTATGACAGCTCTTAGTGTTTGCCTTTTTGTTACAGCAAAACCAGGGTTGCTCTGAACCTCAAAACAATGACCAAAGCGTAAGGGCACAATATTCTTACTTTGTCTTGTGTGTTTCCGTTCCAGGGTCCAAATTTCTACGCTTTTACCATAGTCTTTGAGCACCCCCGAAAGCCAGAAACATCAAACCGGGAGAGGCCGTTTGTGCACCCACATCTTCAGATTGGTTGGGCAACCAGGGCTCCAAAAATGAGCCTGGGCTTGGGAACCCTGCTTGCAACAGTTGGCAATGTGTCAAAATAGGGGGACCCCTAAAAAATCTGTGATATCCGGTTGATTTCCCACCACAAGAAGCATGCCCCTTCAAAAGGCCAGGCCACTGTCGACCAAGAGCTTCGCCTCAGGCCGAGGCCGAGGCCGAACAGGCGCAATGCCCAGAGGCGCGCAGTTCCGGGCCTGATGGTTTAAGGGGTGTGAGAAGCCCTCATATCAGAGCCACTCTAGTGGCCCAGCTAGGTCAAGTCGCCAATCCTGGGTTGAACGTCTTTTGTGGGAACATCCAATGAATAAATGGAACACCAATGGCAACTTTCAAGGTGGTAGTCAAATACAAAAACACGCGTGTGTGTTTGTATGTGTGTGTCTTGCTTTGAGGGTTCCTTTTTTTTGGCGTTTGAAAGGGACAAACACACACCATTTTTGGGGGGTCCGATTCCCGAAAGACGTTTTCACGCGCACTTTGGGTTTTCAATTTTTTGCTGCCAGGGGACTGCACTCGAGAAGACCGAGGAGACCGAGGAGAGCGGGAGCGACAGACTCAACCGGATACCAATTTGGGGCTCCGATGTGTTTTTTTTGGTTGAAAAGACTAAATATCAGACTAACCTTTCTTTGGTGGTTTGGATTGGTGGTTTGGGATTTGAACCCCTGGTTCTTGCAGAGGGTTTTCTAAGAGGGAAGATGGGAAACCCCTCCTCAAACACCAAACCACCACTCCAAACCACCAATTAGAGGGAAGCTGAAAATGGGGAAATATTATTTTTGGTCCCTGAAGTGGGGAGGGCCATTGCAGGTCTTAGTGTTTTCGTTGTCCCTTCCGCTTGACCTTTGCCGATGGATCTTGGCACTGCTCAAATGGGGTTGTGTAGTGCAACAGAAAGAACGCCCTCACATGATCCCGCAACAAAAACAAGGCTCATCTGAAAGACATATCAATTCACCCATAGCGCGGGTCACAGGAGAGCTTGGTTACAAACCAAAATTTGCAACAAGTTTGGAATATCGTCCGTGTCCCCACCAAGCACTCGCGCAAGGTTCCTCAAAAAGGTTACGGCCTGGCGTAGGCTCAGAGCAATTGAGGCTTCCCACAACGTGCAAAGGCTCAGTTTAATTTACGTACCCTGTGAATAAATGTACTATGCACATCTATGCACCCTATTGCTAAATATTATGACTGTATTCTCAGACCCCAAGTTTCCCAGTGCCAAGTTAGAATTAGCCAATACTGAACAACATCTGAACAACCAATGCAAAACCAAAAAAGCTAATCCGACACATTTTCCAATGTTAAACCAGCTCGAAACCAGCGCAAGCCAACAAAATGACAATTATATTTCTGCTGCTTGATTTCCTTCGGAAGTTGCTATTTCGACCGGTTTTTGGGGCCCGGAAAGGGGGGCCTCCGACGGAGGCACCCCATTTGGACGAGGACAGGAGAAACCCCGCGGGCAGAAGAGTACCCTATGTTTGGATATTTTACGGCCCGAAACATATTCTTTGTTGCATTTTGCTTGGATGTTAGCACTTCAACTTTTTGCATCTAATGGGTTTCCCATTAAACCACGAAAAGTTAAACTTTTCGCAGGGGAGCAGAACGCAGCCGAGTACTTATTGGGCGGTGGGGGAGGCGCATTTATTGGCCTTGCTGCTACGGAAGGTCGTGGAGCGGCACCCGGCTTGCCTTGTCAGACGGTAGACGTCTTTGGGCCACAGCCACCCGCGGATGTCGGCAACGGCCGAGACTTGAATCTTCGAAACTGGGATCACCGACAGTCCCATTCGGTGTCAGACATGTGAAGATCCGCATGATTTGATCAAATGCGGCGGGTGGTTGGGGGTCAGAGGCCGCCATCAGCTCGGACACCATCAACTGAGCCATCTCAGGGCTGGGCCAGGGATATGCCCGAACAAGTTGTCAAGCAGAAGCTTTAGGGTGGTGGGAAAGGGGTGGTGGTGCTTTGTTGTAAGGGTACCCTTTTTTGGAAGCCAAAGGAAAGCCACCCATGTTGGGCTTCCCATCTTCTCAACACTCTTTACTTGGAGCAACTGGCGAAGCTACTGGGGGAAGCCACCACCATGGTGTGGTGAACGCTTGTCCCTTTTCCAACATGTTGCTTTTTCTTTTGCCGCAAACGAACTCATTCAAAACAAAACGAGTGGCTTGGTGTGCAGCTGCCCCTTTCAAAAGATTGACCCCCCGTGCTTTCCGCCATCCTTGTGTTCCGTAACTTGCGGTTTCCTGTGGTTCTGGGAGGTGTTCCCAGAAGATCGATCCCTGAAACACATCGAGCTATATGCCAAAAGTTAATAAAGACATACACATAGCAAGTGTAACTTTTGGCATAGCAAACGATTTGTAAAGGTCCCTCAGTCGTTTCTAGGGAGATGTACGGCTAGACCCTTTTTCTAAGGGCAGGCGTCTCCATTGCGGCCTCATAGAGAAATTGTGTTTCAGGGACAGGACACCCCAGGCCCTCACATCAAAGGGTTTGTTTGAAGGCCCGGTCAGTAGTCCTCAGCCTTTGGGCAAGGTTCCTCCAAAACGGAGACAGATGCTGGTTGGTTCCACTTCTATTGTTGCTCTGTATGGGACTCTAAATTTCCAAAGCCATGCTTTGGGATCTTCTTCGCCAGGCGGTTTCTGAGGTTGATGCCGAGAAGGCTACCGAGGAGCGCGGGAGGGAAAGTCGATTCGTTTCTGGTGAGCGACGCCCGAACCCCCCTCCCCCCCCCGGCCCCCATTTTCGCAATTGTGGAAGGGTCCGATTCTTGCACTTGGCTTTACAAAAAGCACCGTCAAAGGAAGTTTGGAAGGAGCTTGTGTGGTGCGCACAAATTGAGCGTCACCGTCTCTTAGAACAAGCTGGAAAATCAACTTGGAGCGAGTTCGGAGCGAGTTCGAAGCGGGTGTGGACACCAGCCTATTGGCCAATTGGCACAGCCGAGTGAACTCGTGCGCTGTTTTTTTCGGCTGACGTATCTAACTTGCAATTTACCTAGCTAGCTAGCTAACTAACGAGACTACTATCTAGCCAGCCAAGTACCCAAGTAGGTAGCTACCTAACCTATGTGACAAGTTGGCTAACAAGCTTATTCTTGAACTAGCTAACTAACTTAGCCAGCTAGCGAGCGAGCGAGATTGATAGCCAACTAGCTAGCAGAGCCAACTCTTCAAGCAACTAGCGAACTAGTTCGGGAGCTGGCTAGCTAACTACCTTGCGTTATTTAACCAGCCTGCCAACATGCTACTCCTTGTTCTCGAACTGGCTAGCTACCTAAACAGCTCACTAGCTAATGAGATAGCTAGCCAACGATCTAACAAGCTGGTTGGCTCGCTGAACAAGCTAGCTAGCTATCTCACCCTTGCACACACGCGAGCTACCTTCCAAACTAGCCAATATTTGGCTGACTGGCTGACTATACTGCCTGGGAACGTAGCAGGACCGAACCAGCTAGCCGGAGTACTTAGCTAACTTGCTTTTACCTATAAACCTTTTACAGCAACCTTTATGAACCTTTGTAACCACCTTGGTAGCACCAACAGTAAATGGGGCTTGGGCACTGTGTAGCGGTGTGGTCAAAGAGGCAACAAAACCTAACATCAGGGGCCTACAACCCCCTCGACCCCCACAGACCTTCCAACTGTGAAGGTCTACTTGGACTTAGTTGGCCTTAGTGAGGCTTGTTAGCCTGGGGGAGTGGTTTGTGGGCTCCTTGAAAGCACGGCAGATGCCCCCCCCCAAAAAAAAGAAAAACAACCAAATTATAAGTCCTTACAGGTGAATTGGTATGTTATTTGTTTCACCGACGCGCACGGAAGATACCCAGACATTGCAAGGGAAGGCCTCGTCGCGAAACGTTTGAGTTGGAATCATCCCCAACAGCCCGTACAGGGACCCTAGACCCCTTCAAAAGAAAAGATCAGTCGAATTCAAGCCTTAGGGTAGTGGTAACTGGGTGTGCCTTGTTTTGAAGTGTGTTTTGGGGTTGTTTGAAAGGGGAACCAAAGGGAAACCACACATGTTTGGGGTACGCCGTGTTTGAGACCCAGCCCAAGTGGAACAATTGGGAAGGCTTCTATCTTACAAACCTTTTCCAATATTTGCCCCAATGCCTTCCAAAAGGAATTGTAGTTCAGCCTTGTTTCCAAGAAATTGATGTTTTCTAGATCCCTGGGGGGAGGTACAGCCAGAACCTTTTTCCTCTGAAGGCACTGCAAGTGGTTTGTCACTTTCTCCCTTGCTTTGCTCTAAGAGTCAGCCAAATCCCGAAATTAAGATGAGTCTAAAATGAAAAGGCGCACGCGAGCGACGCGAGCGAAGTTCAATGCGGGAAGCCACTGGAGCTCGCCGCGCCAGGTCCCGGATGCCGAGGTCGAGGAGAGCGGGAAGGTCGCGCTTCATGTCAATTGGTGGGATCCGAACCTTACCCCGTGTGCGCCTTTCAGAGAATGAGGGTGTCCCCACCAACCCGCAACAAAGACAAAGTGCATTTGTTTGCAAGTGGTCAACCAAGTTTAGATGAGGTGTGTTGAACAAGAAGAATGCCCTAACATGCGTGACGCTCGGAACCCCACCGCCCAAAGACCCCTCCAACTTCTAACCGATACCTTATTTGGTCGTAGTCGTATTTGGCCTTAGTTGGCCTCAAGCCTCAATAAGGCTTTTGGGGTGGCGTCACTGACAGCATGCAATTGGCTTGTGCGACGGAAGTCTCCCATGATGAGTCTTGCAGGTGATTTGTTGGTGTTTGTTTATGTGAGACTTAAGAAACAAACAGCTCGCACGGAAGATACCCAAACAACACAAGGGAAAGGCCGCCCCGTGAAACGCTTGAGTTGGAATCATCTCCAACAAGCCCATACAGGGACCCGACAGGCCCCCTCCAAAAGAAACAAGCAGTCGAAATGAAGCCTTAGGGCAGTGGCAAGTGGGTGTGCCTTGTTTTGAGGCACCTTTGGGGCTTGTTTGCAAGGGGAACCAAAGGGAAAGCACACACGTCTTGCGCCAACTGGGAAGGCGACTAGCTTCCCGCCAACCTGGCTTAGTGCACAGTTGCCCCGTTCACAAGGCTGATCTCCCATTCTTGTCCCCAATCCTTCAATAACGTGTGGTTTCCTCTGGGTTTTTAATGGTTTTCGCAGAAGCACGCCTCAAAAGAATGTTTGGTCGCTTGGTCGGTTGAGATGAAAGTCCTAAACGGGCAAATCCAACACACAACATGTAGATTAAACCACAATTGATCATGGTACACTTCAAAGTGGCTAGTGCCACATGAGCCCAAGAATCGTCAAACCCCGCTTTGGGGTGTCTGCCTTCGTCCGTCCTTGCCAGGCGGTTCCGGAGGTCGATGCCGAGAAGGGTAGCGAGGAGAGCTGGAGAAGTCGTTATATGTCAGAGGGACTGTCATTTGGGACCCGTTGTTCCGACATATTTGTAGTTTGTAAGGTCAACTTAATATGAAACAGACTGCAAGAATTGTGTTTGTTGTACTCCGGGGTCGGCCACGTGGATTTTACTCTTGTTTCTCGGCCCAGTTGCAGTTTGGCCTCTCGGAGAGTTAAACGAGTTCCGCTGGTCAATCAGCACGAACACCCCAGTTGCCCAGTGGCGCCCTTTTTTCCTTTGTTTTGGGGGAGGGTTCCCCTTTGGCCAGGGGCCTGGCCCAAACCGGATCCTGCGTTTCTTTACCGGTGAATGCTGTTGGAAGCGTTCAAGCATATGGGCAACTTGGTAGAATCTACCATGTCTCCTTGTGAGGGTCGCCTTTTCCGGTTTGCTTTACAGGGCCTAAAAATTCCCACCCGGGTGTAAACTCAACCAACCCAAAAAGCTCCACTCACTCCAATTGGGGGGGGGTCTTGAGCAATGTGACGGAACCAACCAACAAGGATGCCCTCTTTTTTCTCGTGGCCACTGGGCATCTGAGATACCTAAGGGACCTTGCAGTTTCCATGGAGGTGCTGGGCTGGGCTTGGGCTCGCGCAGGACCCAAAGGACGAGCCTCTGGCAGCAGCCCCGGGGAGGGTGCGGAGGGAACGAAGACGTCAGGCGAACAGGAGGAACAAGTTGCGAAAAGAGCTGCGACTGAAGCCAAATTTGTGTTTGTCTGTTTTGGAAACTCGCACTTTTTGGGTTGACTTTTTGGGTTGATTTTGACAGGAAACCCAAAGCAACACCAACCACTTTGCGGTCCCTTTATTTTGTATCAAACCCAAATATATGGCTACAGGCAAACTTAGGCAGGCCAAATCAGGCCAAAGTTCGTGGGGCTCCTTGCTCCATATTGCTTCAGGGTCATCAATTCCCACTAAGCAGTCCAAGGCCAATCACCGATCCAGGCCAGAGCAGCGGAAGCTTTAGTGGTTCGATTTGCCGCGTCTGTTTCAACGAGTTTTGGGCAATGATTTGGAGGACATGTTCTGAGTGGCAAACGGTGTAGCACTTTTTTTTCGCCAGGAGGATGAGATGGGTGCATTCAGATCGGAAACGGGCAAAGACAGTCCTGCTGAAGGATTGGTCAGAGGGAATGGAAGTTGACCAAAATGGAGAGGGAGTAAGATCTCTCTGTCCAAGCACGTTGTGTACTACACACCGGACTTGAAAAGCTGCAGGCAAATCTCGAAGGAGACACTATTCAGCGCGGCACTTGCCATGCTCGAGCAGGCAAATGGAGTCTCCATGCACAATGGAGACCTCACATTCGTGTCCCCAGAGGGTCGATATCAAGCGGCCGAGTTCGAGGACAAGCTCGCAATCAAGGTGTTGCGTTCTTTTTGGCTCACACGCCAAGGACACGGGCAACATCCCAGCACATTTTACCGAGCTGCTGGAAGTGGAGTCATCGCGGTCCGGCAAAACGCTGCATGACTCCCTGGGCACCAGAACCAGAACACTGGCTCCGAGATGTTCTTTTCCTGTGAACCTATCTCTCAGGAGTGACTTTGACAGGCGCTTTTCTGGGGTCTCCTCCAAAACTAGTTCATATTTTAGGGTAGTCCAAATATGAAGTTCTGTGCACCCCGAATGCCGACCAAGTTTAGTCGTGTTTTGAGCTTGGACCATTTTAGTGGCAAACAACAAGCTAGATTATTGTTTTGGCCCACCCTTTCGGACGTGAGTAGCGCAAGGCTTGGGTTACCAGGCTCCATGGGTAGGATCATTGTAGAGCCTTTGTACTTAGATGTTCAACCTACTCACTTAGTAGCTTGAACATCCAAGCAGGAATCCAGACCACTTTGTGGGAGTATGGGTGTGCCTCAAAATAGGGGCACCCCGGAAAATCGTTGGGTTTCCTTTTGGGTTCCTAGTGTAGAGATTCCGAAGAGAACCATTGCTATAGCCTGAAGAGTGTTGACAGATAAATTAGCCAAAGAGGGCGTCCAGTTTTTGTTTCTGGCTACCAGACTGACGTGTTCAAACCATTTATGTATAAACTTTCAGTGGCTGTGTCAAACCACGGACAGACTCTGTTAAGCCCAGGGCCTAGGGGAAAGCAAAGCAATCAATGCAAACAACGTCAGAACCGCTGGGATTGTCGGGTCTTGGGGTTGTTGTAGCCTAATCCAAAAGATATAATCCTTGCACGGTAGGTCTTCCACGCTGACAAATCCAGAGTTTGAAGGGGTCCATGACCTTACCAACCCCAAGTAAAGGGGCGTTTTGAGTTTTGACCACGGCACATAGGGAAGGGATTCCCACCTTTGGCCCGAAGGCCGCTGGCTTTGTGTCATTGGTCATTCCCAGCCCCTGTCGTGCGCATAAGGCGGTTGCGGCGTCGTGGCAATAAGTGACGAGATCGGGGACGAGCTCATCGAATCGCTGAAAAAGCCTGCAGCCTGCGGGCCCCCTCGCGTGGGAGTGGGTCCTTGACTGTGGTCAAGGGCCTTGGGCCAACTGGCGGTTCCAACATGCGGCCAGAAGCTGGGTGGGAAGCCAATCGCCCCTTTGCCGGAAGTTCCGGCCAGAATCGGCTCTAAGCTGCGAGCTCAGAGCCGCCAACGGCAAAAAGCGGCTTGGCCGGGTTGCCATTTGGCGTGACCTTGAACCCTTAAACCTGGTGGAAATAACTATTGCCAACACGCTGGCAAAAGGTGTAACTTTGTGCAGACCAATCCAGATGTGTTCCTGTGTTGAGTCCTTTGTCGGCGAGCCGGAAGCTGAATTGCCGATTTTAACAGGGCGGTTTTGTGTTGAGCTCCCCCGACTGAGCACACTGAATGGGACAAAGTCTCAAAGAACGACTCGTCAGCTATCAGGCTATCACAGTTCTGGGGATTCCCCAAGGACGCGCGTCGGTGATTGAATGGGGGACTAGGTGCTGCTTGAAGGCTGGAAAGGACTGCTGTCGCAAGGCCTTGTTTTGAGACCTTTTGAGCATGGCACCCCAAGTGGCCAAGCTTGGCCCGCTCAAGGGGTTAGGCTTACGGGGGGAAGGTCCTAAGCGGTTGGGATCTTTGGGCGGAAATCGTTGGTTCCCTGATTGGTTTGGTTGTAAGGTGCAAGCTGACATCGAGATCAGTCCAAAGAATGCGTGGCAAATTGGGATTTCCCATTCGCATTACGGGCAACACCTGTTCAGACTGCATTCATGGAACAACCCCATGTTAGTATGCAACCTCGGCTGGAGTATTTCTGCAGCTTTGCGCGTTATACTCCAATAGTGATTCAGAGCCGACGTGCAAGGCGGAGCCAGGGGAGGGTTATAGCCTTGAATGGGCCTGCATGGTCCCCAGTGGTCGCCAGTCACTGACAGTCACCATGCTGCAATGGCTTCCCTTGCTTTGGCTCTGAATCAGTACCGCAATGATTGTAGTGGGCAACTAGATTGTTCGTGTTCTCCCCGCCCGCCCATGTGATAGGTCAGCCGAAAACATGGATTTGATCTCGTGCCACTTGCAGTTTGCCGGTCGGGAATGTGCTCAGCTTTAGACAACTTAGACATGTGGGGAAAGTTTCCCTCTGCCTAGGACATGGAATGTGGCTGTCAATCGGCCAGGATAGCCATGCCCCGCCCAGTGGAACCTTCCAACTGCCCCTGAGAGTAGGCCTTTTAACCAGGTTGCATGGGGTTGTGGGGTACTTCAAATCAAGTCAATTCTGTAATGATAGGAGACAATGTGTGTAACTTTTGTTTGCACCTCGTACTACTTTTCAAGTTTCTTTCTGTCCTCGCGAACCTCTAATGTGGATATCCCCAGTTTTCCGGCTCTTACAAATAAGAGCTCCTGCAAGAGACATACAAAAGGGGGCATTGCGTACCTGAAACATCCCTTGATGTTTCATTCACATTTCTTGAGAAGGTGGTGTTGGTGGTAAGCAACACGCCAATACTTTGTTTGGACCAATCCACTCCGAGAGTGTGTCTGAGGTTCCATCTTGGGCAGGGGTGAGAAGCGCGCTTGTCCTTTTGAGACTGTCTGGTTGCCCCACTTTTGGGGAATACCAAGCAGGCAGAACAAAGTTGAACCTTTGTCTTGAGGTATTAGGGTTGTCTCAAAGTTTGGGGACCCACAAAATGAGTGCTTTCCTTTTGGTTCTTCTCGTCCCATACACCCAGATGTGCAAAAGGACAAACCCGCTCAGCTGACAAGCGTCGTTAGGCGTGTTGCCGGCCCGCCATGCCGCATGCGAGTTTTGCCACACTTCCGCGCCCGTCTGGGGGCGTCGGATGCGGCATGCGCCGCATGCGCGCTGAACGACCATTCCGCTTCGATCCCAAAAAAAGTCAACTGGTGGAGTTGAAAGAATGGGAACCCAGGATGGTCCGTGAATTTATTGATAGGAGATGATAGGAGTTTGTTTCCCTTTAATAGCCGATCTCACCGGTTTGGGGGTCAAGCGCAAAACCCTGTAGGTCCTGCCCTTGGGGATCAAACTCTGATTTCAGGTTTTGGACATATTGATTTATTTGTAGAATAATGGGAACCCGAGATTAACAAACCCATGGTTGATTTTGATCGCGGGGTGTTTCATGTCAGAGAGCAGCCTTCATGGCAGAGGAACACGTACTCCATTTGATTCGCCACCAGGTAAGTCAATCCGTGGCCTACATCAGCCAGTGAGTTGTAATTTCACCCAATGAGCAACACCAGGGCATGTGTGTTATTTTCCTGACCCCTATTGGACACAGGTTGATACGGATTTGGTGTGGAGTTGGGATACGGTTTGCATGTCGATGGCGACGCCGGGCGACACAAACAGTCAAGCATATTTGTTTACAACTACAACAGTCCCCAAACTCCAAGAATGCTTGATTGGCGAAAGTCAAACACAAGGTCAGACATTGCCCAAAGGCAAACAGAAGGGTTTGAGTTCCCTTCAGCGAAGACGCAATTTGATGGTGTTGGGTGGTCTGTAGGGTCTCTAACTTTTTCATGATCTGTTGTGAGGGTTGCGACATGCAACGACTCCAGGTGAGCGAGGAGAGACACGGTTTGGCCCCCCACCGCGTTAGAATATGAGATTCATGCACCCCCAAACCCCCGCCCAAAGACACCACAAGTGGCCACGACATGTCACTGAAAGGCCCTAAGTGTTGGGCTTGTAGGGTTCATGAAGAAGGGTTCTCAGAGCCCTTCTAAGGATTTGAGCTTCCTGGCGAACCTTTCCTGAATGGTGCTTTTGGGGGCCTCTGGTTTTCTCCCTAATGGGGATCGGCTTTGGGTACCCCTAGAGTTCTGGGTGGTGCAGATTTGTGAACCCACGGAAATCCATCTTGCGCCCCTTCATTGGCGTCACCCATTCAGCCATTTCAGCCACTCCTTGTGAGTCGGCGGCGTCTATTTCTGGGTCCAGGCTTATCCTGATTAGTTTTGAACCTTTCAGGCTAGACTCAGCAGGTCACGGTTCATGCATTCACCTAGCAACCGCCCCCGAAGACCCTTAGGGCCGACCTTATTTTGCCTTCACATGTCACAAGGCTTATTGTCGCCTCGCCCCTCATTGTTGGTTTGGATTGGTGGTTTGGAGGTTCGGGGTAACGTCCCGTTTGGGTCTTTCTTTGTTGAGGGTACCCCTGTTTGTGTGGTTATTATAGGGAAACCAAAAGCAACACCACCATCTTGGGGTCCCCTAAGAAAGACACACCCATTTGACCCATTTGGCTTCAAGAAGAACTGGGGCTTCCAAGCCCCAAACCACCAATCAGGGCAAAGCTATTGACCCTTGAGGAGGTTTGTGCCTAGACAAACTTGGTCGACCGGCCAAAAGATCGGCTCAGAAATAGTTTTGCAAGGCCCCGCCGATTTTCTCCGCCCGACTCGCGGGCGATTTCTGACTCAAGGCTGGAGTGTACTGACTGTGCAAGGGGGCAACGCTCACAGGGGAAATAGTGCCTTTTGCAGACTTTGGCAACGTGAAGGGATCGGTTGCCCCAAAAAGTCGACGCCATTTGGGGTTGTCTCAAAATAGGGAACCCAAATAAGCGGTTTCACAGTTTCCCGTCCCAACAGACCCCAAAACACTTGCCAACGCTAAGGGACCATGCTTGGAAGTTCAACCCACTCGGTACCAGTGGTCAAAAAGGCGACCAACCCCAGTCACCCAGGTCCTTACCAGTTCTTTACCGAATCAGAGCCATAGCAAAAGGAGCCATTGCAGCCTAGATAGCTACTGAGATAGCTTCCTATGTTCTGAATCTCTGTGTGGCATGGAATGGATGATATTCGTCCCTTGTTTCCAAGCATGAATTCCCATATGTTTCAGGGATGCTACGTGTGAAATGGAATGGCCAAACTTGTTTCTCCGGTCAGCCACGCAAAATATGCGGAGTAGCAGCCGGTGGGGGCGATTAGCAACTATGGGTCCCTGCCTGTGGCCAAGTGGGCTATGGCTCCCTTTTCTGCGGCATCGTACACCATCAGACCTTCTTCGGGGCTTATCCTACCCATAGACTCCCCTTGAAACCCTGACTGAGGCCATGTGGATGATGGGACCGCCCGAGGATGCGGCACGGACCGCCCAGCGGGCAAAGTGGGCTTGGTTTCATGGGCACCCGCTTCCAGGGTTGGCCAAAAAACGTGTTCAAGCAACCAACCTCCTGGTCTCCTCTAAAGGGCCGACCCTCAAAAGCGGTTGTTTGTAAGGCGCACTTGTTTCTCTGGACCCCTTGAGGGGTCACTGTTGGCTCTCCGCTGGTTTGCCGAAAGCGAAACACAAGTTGTCCAAATGTAGCGGTCCTTCGATTTCCCGTTTTCGGATCTTCAAATGTGGCAGCATCATGGGACCTCACCACCAAATTGATGAACGTTGGAAGGAGCATCTAGTACCACTTGAGATAGCCCATCGGGATTCACAGCTTATCCGTTGAATCGCCATGCTTCAAACCTTTCGTTGGCCGGTTTCTTCCTCGTTTTTTACAGTAAAGGGCAAGGAAATACGAGCATTTCCAGTCAGTCAACTCAGGTTAGATACAAGGGGTTAGACACTTCTGACCTTTGCTCGCCCCCCTTGTAGGTGACATGTCGAAAGAAACCCCTCCCTCTCCGAATGGAACTGAGAGAGGGGGTACTGTATCGCCTGGAATTGCTATGGTTCCATTAGGGAAGACAAACCAAAATGGAACCGAACCCTTTCTTTTTTTTGAATTCTTGGGGAATACCCTCAAACATGTTTGGTGGACACATGTCCCCACGTCAATAATCCACCAAAAGTTTGCAATTAAAGAACTACATGGGGGCTTGGTCAAAAGGTGTCTTACGTGGGATGAGCGTTGGGGAAAACCAAATAGCTGACGTTGATACTAAATGGGCAAACATACCCACGGTCATTTTAGGGCTGTTGATTAGCACCCATATCCAAATGAGTCGACTCATATCCGCTCGCCGCGCGGTCGTGCCTCTGTTCCTTAGGAGCCTGGCGCACCGGGGAAGTTGAATGGGTCACTAGTTAGGACACAACACAGGTCTTTTGGATGCTCGGTCTAGTACTAGAACCCTTTGAGGGGGCTCAACCCAGTTCTCCAAGCAAAATACACAGCCACTTCCCAAAGCCCCTGTTGGCTGTTTTATTTGGTGGTTCTAGGGATGACCACTCACGAGCAACCGGGAATTTGGAGGCTCACGGATCTCCGGTCCTCGGAGTCGAGTTGGCCTTCGCCGTGAGGCCAAGAAGGCATGGGATGAGTTCTACTTCAAGATCAAGGCAGAGCTCGTTATTTCACTCACGCCATGTTGGGTGTGTCTTTTTGGGTTTGCAGGTACCCAAAAGAAGGGTAGGCGTTCAAGGGACACCAA